TTGTTCAAGTCAACTATCAAATATAGTCTATAGCTTATCCTTAAGTGCTTCTGTTTTCTAAATGAAAATGAAATATTATGGTGTCCAAGTATTCCAAAATAGAAATCGTACCATTTTGTAGCCTAAAATTATATTGTATAACGACATTAAAATCTTGGGCATATCACATATAAACAAAAAGGAAATCACTCAATTTAAAACTTCACAAAATGAAACACCTTCTTWAATAAAATCTCCTTCTCAACRCAAAACTCTTAATCTATAAACAAATTCTCCGCCYTYCAATGACTTACAGAATACARMTATGGGGTATATCCAAGATTCAAAAATTCCAATCCTTCCAATCAATTTGCCTTCGTCTCCTCACCAACGCACCYTGGTACGTCAGCAACCTCACACTCCATTCTTGTTTTTATATTTAAAAAAAATTACGTTTGTCAGCGAATTGGCACTTTTTCCATTTGTACCAGAGACCGTTTYCCGCGTTGGCGAATCRAGCCTGAATCATTTATTATTATTATAGTAAATGATACTTACCTATACAGCTATTATTCAWTGAATATATAAAAAAATATGCAAGTGCTTGTTTTTTAATTACATTATAATACAAAGTACARATGATATACGAGAGTTAACATTCTGAATTTTCAACTTATTAAAAGGTAGGCATTTTCTGAATAAGATAAATTGTATTTTGGAACTTTGCCAACAAAGATCATAGAAATAATAAACACAAATGTATGGATTAATTTTCATAAACATTGTTTTTTCTTCTATCTATTAACATAAATTGTATAAATATCTGTATGAACTTGAATTACAAAAAGTTTAATTAACTATAATTTCAATTAATTTGATGTTCTTCCGATGTTCTTCCGATATTATTTTTATTTTATTTCATCAAAACTATATTATTATAACACAACGTCAATAGGTATAAAACTTGTGGTATAGTTATACCGCAGTATTATAAAATGTTTCTGTAAGTCAATAACTTTTTATAATTTTATACAGCCTATTTATAATTGATGTAATTGATATGAATTATTTATAACTTTAATTTATTAACATTTAACTCATTATATTAAAAAAATTATTTTTTTATAATGTACAAATCTAAGCATGGCCTAATATTATATAACGGTATTTAAATAGTTTAAAAAATGACTCACAATGCATTTTCTATGAAAATAAATTCTAGTAAAATAGTAAAATAATTATGTACTCATCTAAACTGTATTAAAGTTTAGTCGGCAATAGCCAGTAGGTGGGCACCGGAGTAGGTATAAATATACACTATTATAGTATAGATGGGCGGGAATGAACCTTAGTACGAGGACAAACACTATAGGTACTTATGACTACACAATTAACATTGGACACCCCATAGCTGTAATACTTTATACCTAGTAGTAGGTATAAAAGCAGAATATAGTTTACTTGCAGCTAAGCCTACGCCCTGGCCCTAGACAACTATTATACGAATTTTCGAGTTGAGTGTAAAATATAAAATTAGATGTAATTGAAATATAGAATTTATTATTATTATTTGTTGGTAACTACGTCGTTATTATTAAAATCTTAATTTTAATGTAAAAAAAATATCCATACTTATAAAATAATCAGAGATGGTAAAACGGGGGGCGTGGGAATAGATCTCCGCTTGACCATTTTTCCATCTTTTAAGATCTGATAACCATAAATCTTATTTTTAATAATTAAATGGTGCGCATTAAAAATCAGTTGTGTCCTCCTCCTATGCCAAAATCATTTAACTGCCATTGATATACTTATAGATGAAAAGTAAATTAATAATCACACCTACATAATAAAACAACATAATATATAAAATATGTATTATGTTAAATTGTTAAATATATTTCTCATATTCTTGACCATAATATGTACATTATAATATAGAATGTATTAACTATAATTTATTCATTGCATTGAAATCTGTAACTTTCTATTAAAGCGAACATCTATATAATATAGGAAGTAGGAACCACAAAAAGTGTCTGCGGTTTAGAATAATATAAAACATAATAGTTTTTTTTTTACAATGTTTTATTGAATTATGTACAGCATTGTTTTATTTATTTAAAATTTGCATACTYATATATAATACCAACTGACTCCAGTGCACTTCGTCMTGTATAACATGTTTAGCCAGAAAATGCCTAACAACTTAARTGTATTCAATTAATTTTTATCTTATAAATATTCACTATTCACCTTAGATTTTATAAGCTCTCCGATATGTTTTAACTAAAATGATTTAATATTTCAATATAGTCATATTAGCATATTAAATAGTTTTTTTCGGTTGCCTCGACAGTAAATTAAAATATAAATACAATATAGTTTTAAAAACTTTTTATATAATAGAGAGATCACTATAMATAAGTATAATAGGTACACTGTGCATGTTTAATGATCTATATAGTTTCACTACTGGCTACTATTGTTTTAGTTCCWACTACTGTAGTGATTTTACAATGATGTATATTTTTTGGTGTATACAATGTAATCGAAATAATGCTTAAATTTTCAACTTCATTATCTGTTACCATTGGAATGTGAATCTAGTTGGTAYTTTTAAGGTCATGATTGAAAATCCAAAGTAGTTTTCAAAAACGTCTGGAAATAATTTTTTTACAAGTAATAAGCAACCTGTATCAATTATACTAGAAACAATAAGAACATGTGATAAAAGTGAACAGTTTATGAAGTTTTGTYGAAAGAAGCCACCAAACACTTATTATTAGTAACACTTTTTATTAGATTGATAACAAATTCAATTTAATTTTGGTGTTGCTCAAAATTGAATGACCGTAGATACTACAAATACTAGTTAGTAGTTACTTTTTAAATATTTACCAAAAGTTTATTTAATAATTTTATATACTTACGTGATAAGATTTTAAGCATTTAAAGTTTAAGTGAATTTTGACAAAACTAGGTGTTCTAACGGAAAAAWWTTTTAGTTATTTTGATATAATTTAAAAATATTATTTGGGGCAGTGAACCAACGTTTTGCGRGGTATTGGACTAACCGCATTCCACTCCACTTATATAAACTTTAATTACTTATACATAAACTAATTGTCCAAAAAATATTTTGTATTCGAAAATTAAATGAAAACTGTATGTTGTCATCCAAAATTAAAAAAATAAATTATTTATAAGGATGAAAATATTTTAAAAATATTAATTTTTTTAAAACGTTGTTTACTAACAACTTAAAACCATTTCAAAAACCAAGTTTAAAAACATTAATGCTTTTTAGAATAATGAGTGATGGTTAAAAATAAAAACAAAATACCCTTTATTTGATTATTTCATACACACAATGATATTTTCAAATGCAATGTTTTCAGCAAACATTTATTTAACGTACCTACTAAATTACTAAAATAGTAAAATAAACAACTTTAGTAGCAATAATTTCATAATATATACTTATTAATATAGGTTGATAGGTCTTATCCGCTCAGAATCGTTTTTCGTTTTCAATAATATAATATCATTAAATTTAAATTTGAAACATCCATTAGTCATTAGTTCATTACAGTGACACACA